TGATAGCCCCATTGCTCTGTATTGTGACAACAATGGAGCGATCGAACAAGCGAAAGAACCCAGATCCCATCAACGATCCAAATACATACTCAGACCAGATCATAGACAGAGGAGACGTGCACATTTGCAGAGTATCGACAGATGACAACATTGTCGATCCGTTGACGAAGCCTCTCCCTTCGTCGAAGCATGAGGGTCATGTTAGGGATATGGGCATTAGATGTTTAGCAGTACATGATTAGAGCAAGTGGGAGATTGTTGGTTTAGTGCTATATGATGTACTGTTTGCGAGCTTTACTTGGATACATTTGATGTCTTGACGCTTTCTATGATTTATGGATGAGTGTTTGATTCATTATGTATTTTGCATACTAGATATGTTATGAAATCCATGTATTGTTATGAACAATACTAAACTCCCCAGCTTTGGCATGGCCCATGACACGTACGATCGAGGCCTTGACAAGTCTTTACTCGTAGAGCTCCTAGATCTAACCGGTTTGTGTGCAACGATTGTACATAATCCGAATAGACTATCCATTCGATTATGTAATCCCAATCCCGAAGCTCCCACTCAATTAAGCATATCTAATATCTTGATTAAGTTAGATGCATTCATTCACTATGGATCATCCAAACGAACGAATCATGCTATTCTGAATCACTGATAACACGTATTTTGGGTGACGTTTTGATATTGGATGTCCAGCATATTTCACTCTATTTTATATATTTATAGGCATTCTAGGGCATATTTGGCTTCGATATTGCATGGTTGTGTTTTTTGGTGTTTAAACAGGTTTTCATGCATAAAAAGAGCAAAAGGAGTGGAAAACATTGGCTATGGAACATCACGGACAAAACGGGAACATTTGGAGTGTTTCCAGGGAAAACGTTAAGCTTAGGAAATGCCAGATCTTGCAAGTCTGATAACTTTCACTCTGTAAGTCCAAATCATGCATTCTCTACGTCATTGGAAAGCTCTCTTCGATATCTACACATAAACACCAAGATCACACAAATCCGATATCGGAGCAAGAAGTTATGAGCAAATTCGTGAAGCCTGTCAAAAGTGCTCAGAAACACGACAAGATCGGTTCGGGTTTAGCGAAACGATCGGTTCGGCATCGCAGAAATTGGAAAAATGCTCCGAAACGATCAGTTCGACCCATAGATTCGGGAAAACTTCCAATTTTGCCCAAACCGAAGTAAAATAAGAGGGGAAAGCCTCTAGGTCGAAAAGAATTCAAGCTTTACACAGAGAAACATCCTAGAGCACACAAAAGGGGGCGATTATCAAGAGGCAAGAGATCGGAGTAGAAGACGAAGATTACGAAGCCGGGAAATCGACTAAGCATTCTTCCTTTCTTCTATTTTACGATGTTTTGTATTATTGATATGAACCTCGACGTCTCGATGTTTAGCGAGTAATTCCTCTGCTGTAGGTTAGGGATTTGCTATGTAGGGATCTTTGGTTTTTAATTCCAGACTATGTGGTATTATTTATTTGATTCAGTTTATTGAGTTATTCTTAATGCGTTTGATCTTGTTGGCCACTTGATTGAATGAACCTAGGGTTTTAATTCGCATAGACATATGGGATTCTAACCTGGAAATAACTCTACTTTAGAGCTTGAATCGAGAGATTAGTAGGATAAAGCCTGGATAGTGAGGTTAGACTCGAGAGAGTTAATCTCTACTTTAGAGCTTGAATTCCCTGAATTGGATTTAGAAACCACAGAATCTGCATCTTTAGAGAAGACCCTTGCATGTAAAGCAATCCCGAAGCCTGCAGTGTTTTCCATTGATTGTCTACAACCGTTTTAGTTAATTGCTTTGTTCTCGACATTCCATTCTCCACATTCCTATTATTTTTCTTGGATTTAGATTTGGATTTGGGTTTAACTCCTTTGCTTAATTTTGTCCCTGTGTTCGACCCTAGCTACTACACACGATCCGTACACTTGCGGTTAATTGTTGAGTCTAGGATATTATAACTTGATCGAATTTATTCACCTAGATTTGCGACATCAAGTTTGTGGCGCCGTTGCCGGGGACAATTTAAGCAACAGGATTAGATGTTGTCTAGTCTGGATCTTTTTGTTTTTCTTTTTCTTAAGTGATTTCTCACGTTTTCTTTGTTTTTCTATTGTTTTTCGTTTGTGTGCAGGGTTCACTAGTGCATGACCAGGAATTCTGAGATATCAGACGTAGTACCTCTTGATTCTGAACTTGAAAGAACCATCACACGCCTCCGACGACAGCAAAGACAGATGGAGAACAACCGAGATTTTGCTCTTCCTGATGGTGTCGAAGGCAATGCTGACTCAACCTTTGCCCAGTACAACACGCCTAAGCACACTGAGCTTTTGGCTGGTATTCGATTACCGTCCATCGACATGTCTGGTTTCGAGCTGAACCCGACTACTATTCAGATGTTGGGCAACAATGCTTTCCGGGGTAGGCCGAACGAAGATCCGAACGCACATTTAACTCGCTTTAAGATGATGTGTCGTTCTATCAAGAGAGACAACAGGGTGACAGAGGATACACTTCGCTTAATTGCTTTCCCCTGGACTCTCCTGGATGCTGCTTTGGAATGGTGTTATGATTTGATACCTGATTCCATCCACACCTGGGAACAGTTGGAAGTGCAGTTTATGTCAAAAAATTTCCCAGCTCACCGTACTCAAGCCGCTCTTTCTGGCATTCATTCATTCAAGCAGCCATCCACACCTGGGAACAGTTGGAAGTGCAGTTTATGTCAAAAAATTTCCCAGCTCACCGTACTCAAGCCGCTCTTTCTGGCATTCATTCATTCAAGCAGGATCATGGGAAAGTCTTTATGAAGCTTGGAAGAGGTACAAGGGATATCAAAAGTCTTGCCCTCATCACGGGCTAGATAAGAACTACCTGATCAACACCTTCTTCCGAGGACTCAGGATGGATACCAAGACCTTGATCCGGGCATCTTGCGGTGGGAGCATCCAGAACAAGTCATTCGCTGAGCTAGAAGAACATATTGAGATGATGGCCCAAGAAGAAGACGCTCCGAATGAGTACTCTAGAGATTTGCCAAGGAAAGGCAATGATCAAACCATACATATGGTTCTTGAACAATTGGCTGTCCTCAATGCTAAGCTCGAAGATTCCACTCGATCCTCTAGGACCGAACATTCGACGCCAACACAAGAGGAGCTCGGTATGTACGCACTAGATGAGAGAATCGAAGGTGTGAACTATGTGGCCAACAACCCCTACTCGAACACGTACAATTCGGGGTGGAAAAATCATCCCAATCTCTCATACAAGTCAAACAGTGTTGAGAATCCCGCGTCGAACAACTTCAGAGTATCCGACAACTCGAACCAGAGGATTCCTCCCGGGTTTGCTTTTCAATCCAGGGGCCCTAATCAGACATCTAACTACAGAGCTCCGGGACAATCCAACAACAATGTTGCATCTCCAGGTAATCTCGAATCTAACCCTGATACGTACGGTCTCGTTATACAGTTTTTGTAGAGTCAAGAGAAGACGAATCAGAAATTTCGAGCTCAGTTCGCAAGCATCGAGGCTCACTTCAAGAACATAGACAATCAGATTACTCAGCTAGCATCAGCCATTCAAAGACCATCTGGGTCTCTTCAAGGTAACTCTGAGACTAACCCTCGTGCGCATGTCAACGCTATTACCTTAAGAAGTGGTAAGCAGGTAGATTCTGGAGATCCACCGATGGTTGAGCAAGGCGATAGCTCGAGAACCACAGTTTTAGATACTGCTGATGATACACCTGAGCCAG